GTAGGAACTGCAGATGCTGGAGAATCCTAGACCGAAGGGTCTAGGCCCGAAACGTCAGCCTCTCTGCTCCTATGATGCTGCTTGGCCTGCTGTGTTCATCCAGCCCTGCACCTTGTTGTCAAAGATTCAACACGAGCCATTTTTAGGGTTGTTAACTTTCTGCTTATTAATTCTGTATCGGTATAACTCCTGTTCCACACTACACCTGAGGAAGGAGCAGAACTCCAAAAGCCAGTGTTTACAAATAAACCTGTTGGACTATAAGCTGGTTCCACTTGAGAGACAGTACTGTTGGTGGCTTTACCTGACAGTCACCACACCTCAGGTGAGATTAAGGAGAGTCCTTCATGGTAGCCTAAGCTTGTGCACAAAGTCAGATGTCCACCCCAGTCCAACACTGGCACTTCTACATCATAAGCTGATGTAGAAATTGAACCTATGCTGTTGGCATCGCAAACCACCTGTCTAGCCAACTAAGCTAACCTACTCCTGACAAATGCAGTATGTGGATAAGTGTGAAGTTGTCCAATTCAGTGGAAAAACAGAGTGGCGAAATATTATTAAAATAATGACAGACTGGGTAATGTTAATGTCCTAGTATGCCAGTCATTGAAAGTAAACATGCATTTGCAGCAAGCAGTTAGGAAAGCTAATGGGTTTGCATACAGGAGAAAAGAAAACTTAGTGCTGTTGTACAGTGCCTTGGTGAGTCCACATTGGAGTTTTTGACTCCTCACGTAAGATAGGATATAATTTATACAAGGAGCATTCCAAAGGTTCACCAGACTGATTTCTAGGATGGCAGGTTTGACATACGAGAAGAGATTGGGTCAATTAGGCCCGTATTCACTGGTGTTTAGAAGAATGGGAGGGGATCTCACTGAAATGTATAAAATTCTGACAGGGTTGGACAAACTGGACTAGCTTCCACTTTATCCACCTTGTTTAGTACTTCTTGAAAAAAAACTCTAATAAATTAAGCAAACCAGTTAGTGTTAGGTTTAGCCATGTTGACTCTGACTGATTGACTAAATGACTAGTCATTATCTCCTTTATAATGGATTCTCACATTTCTCTATGACAGATATCTCGTCTACAGCTTTCTGCTTTCCAAAACCCTCCTTCCTTGAATAAGGGTGTTGTAATTGCAATTTTCCAATATTCTGAAGCCTGTCCAAAATCCAGAGAATTTTGGAAGATCACAACCAATGCATCTATCTAATCCTATGTTGCACTATAAGTTTTAAAACATGAAATCTTGTACTGTTATCCCTTCAATTATTAACTGGAGTTCAAATCATAGAATCCCTACAATGTGGAAGCCAGCCGTTCAGCCCATCATGTCCACACCGACCCTCTGAAGAGCATCTCACACCGATCCACCCCCACCCCGCCCCCACTTTATCCCTGTACTTCCTATGGCTAAGCCAACCAGCCTGCACATCCCTGGTCACTATGGGCAATTTAACATGGCCGATCCACCTAACCTGCACATTTTTGGACAAATGTTATCAATCTCTACAGTGATGATAACAGCATGCGTGTATCTATAGTAAGAGCATTTATCTGACTTGAGTCACAGTTCGAGTATTGAGTGCCCACATTCAAATTCATGCCAAATGTAATTTTACTGCTGGAGGTCATGTTTTGTAAACATACCCTCAATAGTCTGAGCCCATCACCAACAATTTTTCCCTTATTAAATTCCTTCAGTGTGTGGACCCAAGTTCCACATGCAGTCAGGATTGGATTTAGGGTTAAGGTGAACATTATCCTAATTCTCTGTGGTTTATTGCAGGTTCTCAGAAAGGGTCACTGGATCTGAAACGTTAACTCCGATTTCTCATCACAGGGTGACACAGTGGCTAGCACTGCTGCCTTGCAGGACTAGGGACCTGGGTTCGATTCCCCCCCTTGGCAACTGTCTATGTGGAGTTTGCACATTCTTCCCATGACTGCATGGATTTCCTCTGGGTGCTCTGGTTTCCTCCCACAGTCCAAAGATGTGCAAGCTAGATGGATTGGCCATGCTCAATTGCCCATAGTGTTCAGGGATGTGTAGATTAGGGGGATGTGTTTGGGTGGGATGCTCTGAGGGTCAGTGTGGACTTGTTGGGCTGAAGGGCCTGTTTCCACACTGTAGGGATTCTATGATCTAGATGGTGCTAGACCTGCTGAGCTTTTCCAGCATCCACAGTTCTTTCAGTTCTCTGCGATTTATACTGTGGTTAATCTCCCTCCACACAGACCTTGGTATTTCAACAGCGTTCAGTGAAGTTTGGTTAACCCATCATTCTCCAAGGTAACAAGGTGTAGAGCTGGATGAACACAGCAGGCCAAGCAGCATCAGAGGAGCAGGAAGGCTGACGTTTCGGGCCTAGACCCTTCTTCAGAAATTCTCCAAGATATCTTTTCTGTTTTCAAGTTCCTGTCCTTGTTTGGTTCATTCCCCACATATGGAAGCACAAGCAGTGCATCCTCAGCAATGGATACAGTATCCCATCCCTGAAATGTGGGGAAGTGAGGGAAGGACCCATGATAGGGGCAGGACCGTGATGGGGCGGGGCTTGTGGCGAGGTTTGAACCGGATATCCGTGTCTCCAGGGGCGACAATCGGGCCCAGCCGAGAATGGACAGCCCTGAAGCGGTGTTCAGCCTCTTTTACATCGTCCTTTCTTTCTGTTTTGTTTTAACTCCGACCGAGTTCCGTTCGGCGGGGGTGACGGTGCAGGATCTGCTGTCCGAGCAGCTGGGTAGCGAGGATCTGGCCTTCACCCATTACCATATCCGCAGGACAGCGGCTACTGTCATTGTACATTCGCTGCTACCACTAGGTCAGGGCAGGGCACCGCGGCCCGGGCTGGGGGATACGGTTTGGATAGGAGAGCGGCCCAAACCTGTTCTGAGATAAACAGTGTGGAGCTGGAGGAACGCAGCGGGTCAGACAGCATTAGAGGAGCAGGAAAGTTGTCCTTTCGGGTCGAGACCCTTCTTCTGTAGTGTTATCTCTGACTCCAGCATCTGCAGTTCTTACCATCTCCAAAACTGTTCTGGTTTGTTCGTGTATTGTGAGCCTCGGAGTTGAGTAGGATTTCACCAGTCACGAATGTTTGCAATTATTGGAAATGCTGTCAATGTAAACTTTATAAACTTCAGATTGTGCCTAAGCTCTGTTCTCTAATACCAATTAGGCAGCAGTTTTCAGGATGGTATTAGGTTGTGACGGTGCTGATAATCAAGCGAGCAGGCTTTTATGAATTCAAATGAATTGACCGAAGCCGAAAATGCAAGCTGCCGATTAATATTTCTGTTGGACTTGCACTCTGCCTGGCTTACAGT